TGCAATGGGGTCCGAGTGCTGTGGCATGGATGGGATAGGGGGCCAAGCGCCGCGGCTAGACCATGGGGGGGTGAGCGCTGCTGCTAGGACATTCTTGGGAAGTTGCCGCTTGGGAAATTGCACATTTGGGAAGTTGCCACATGGGAAAAGAAAATGCCTTTGGCAAAGTACCTGACATCTTTTTTTACAACTAAAGCTAAAAATTGCTTTATAGCTCTAAAATGTACATGTCTACTGTCTAGGGCTTTAAATAAAGGTATTAGAGACTTAGAAGGGTAAAATCAAAGTCCAATGACGGTGCGACACTCTAAAGTCGACCCAGTCTTGAAAATTGGTGCAACTTTTCAAAGCAGTTTTGGTCTAAGTGCGTGGGGCACAGAAATAAAAGAAACCTTCCTAACAACGTTAAATTATGCCTTGAACCATCTTTTTATGTAAATGAAGAAAAAAAATTAGTCTAAAAAAATATTATCATTTCTATCAATGTTGTAGAAGCCGTGTGTTTTAGTTAGTGTTCCTTAGAAATGTAGAAACGAAATGTATAAATATTTTTGTTGGTATATCTACAAACTCATTATTGATGGAAGAAAATCTCCTAAATGTATTTTTGTTTCATGATATGTTGAAAATTCTCGGTGATGAAAATATTATATTTCATTTAAGCAAGAGGGATAAAGCGCCCTTGAATTTTTTGTGTGAAACCTTTTTCCTTTTCTACAAGAAAATTTGTGTGTCAGCGTAGTCAGCCAAGAAATGATATTAAATATCTTTATTAAAAGATCTAGAAAGATCTGGATTTATATAAGAAAATAACTGAGATTCCATGCAGTTCTTGTAGAATCCAAACAGGCACAACTGAGAAAGTGTTTAAAGGGAGGGGGGGGGATGTTTGTAGTGAAAATAGATATGTAATAATGGGTACCGGAGGTGAACCATTTATTTATAAGCATGAAATCTCAGAATTCTTTTTTTCATGACACTTAAACTGCATTGTCCATAAATTTCTATATTTGCTATGTGAATTTTTAATTGATATGAGAACTAACAGTCTAGATCTAAGGGAACTAGTCAATATATATCCGTCTATCTATAAATATCTATGTTAATATATATCCGTCTATCTGTAAATATCTATGTTAATATATATATATATACCCGTCTATCTATAAATATCTATGTTAATATCTATCTGTCTATCTAATTATCTGTCTATCCTGTAATTTCTGGAATGCCAATAATACGAGCTGAAGGAGCTGAGTGGAGCGGAGGAATCAGAATCCAAAACTTCTTATTTCTAAGTTTGGCATGAAAACAGTTTCCTTGTCCTGAGAATACCGAGGATAAAAGGTAATAATTCAACATCAAGACAAAGATGCTTATTTTAAGGGATTCTACAAAAAATTTTAAAATCTAAAGGGATCTTTTGCAATCTTCTTGTACAGGCCCACCTTTCCTGGACCAATCTTCTTTTCTTGTACAGGCCCACCTTTCCTGTACCAATCTTCTTGTACAGGCCCACCTTTCCTGTACCAATCTTCTTGTACAGGCCCACCTCTCCTGTACCAATCTTCTTTCACAGGCCCGCCTTTCCTGTACCAATCTTCTTGTACAGGCCCACCTCTCCTGTACCAATCTTCTTGTACAGGCCCACCTTTCCTGTACCAATCTTCTTTCACAGGCCCACCTTTCCTGTACCAATCTTCTTTCACAGGCCCACCTTTCCTGTACCAATCTTCCATCACAGGCCCGAGGCTCGCCTTTCCTGTACCAATCTTCTTTCACAGGCCCGCCTTTCCTGTACCAATCTATTTCTCAGGCCCGCCGTTCCTGTACTGATCTTCTTATTGCCCATTCTTGCCATCTTAGACCAGCCCACCTTCCTGTACTGGCCTTCCTTCCTATTCTGGTCGGTCTTCTTGTAACAGCCCACATGTTCGAACTGATCAGCCTTCTTGTACTGGCCGGTGTTCTTGTGTTGGCCGGCCTTCTTGTACCGATCCCATGATACTGCGAATATTACCAATTTTAGCTTCTTGAAAACTTTTTGCAATTTAATTCTTTTCAGTTTTCTAATTTTGTAAAAAAAAAACTACCATTGTATTGTGTAGAAAAGGCTCACAATTTAATCTTTGCCTGCCCAGAAAGATCTCCCACGCCGAACTGAGGATAAAAGTATTTTCAAATTCGGATATCGTGAAAACGCGCAAAAAGTTGTAGAATAGAACCAAGTCTTTATTGTTTTTAGTTTAGTGTGTTCTGTAGAAAGAGAATACATTAGAACTTTAACAATGAATGCAGGACTGAGGATTTTAAGTTAAATACTGTACTATGCATTCCCCCTTTACCATGCATTCTTCTTTCCTTCCCCTCCCGTTCTTTCCATTCTACTTTCCTTCCCGTCCTTTCCCTTCTTATTTCCTTTCCCTTTCATTCTTCCCGTTCTCATTTCAGTCCTAACCTTCTAATTATTTTGTCCTTCTTCTCCTTACCGTTCCTTATCTTTTCCACTCCTCCTCTTCACCTATGAAACCCCCTTCCCCTCCAAGTCTTCTAACCTTCCCTCCATTCCCATTCTCGTTTCCCTTTTTCCCATCCCATCTCTCTATCTACCCTATTTCACTTTTCTCCTTCCACTTCTCCTTCCCCTTCACCTAGCCTTCTTCCGTTACCCCTTCTCCTTCATCATCCCTTTCCCCACCTTTGCCTTCTACGCCTAACCTGCTACACTATTTTATTTCCTCCCATACCACCTCCTCCCCCTCCCTCTGTGTATAGTTTTGTACTTAAAATATAAAATTTGTGGATCAATGTAATTTTTTTTAATTTATAAATTAGAGAAAAATTTAAAACGCCTTACATAAAGGGTTCAAATTTCGTAGACCGACCACATTTTAGAGATATAACATATAGATATGAGAATATGAAACAAACACTGCGTATTTACCCTAATCCCTCCATCCTTCTCAATATCATTGAGTTTCTGCGGCTATGTTTTACAGATATTTATGGATTATCGGTTATAGCTTACTTTGAATATCTCAAGATGACTATTCAAATCTACTGTTCCACATTGTTCCGCAGAGAGGCTCAAAAGGTATCATCGTCGCAAGAATTTTGACCTAAACACCCTGAACTAACCATAGAGAGAAGCATTCGGTTTTTTTAATTTGAAATTAAACGTGTTTTCGTCTATAACTCAACAGTCTTTAGACTTACAGATTTGTTTATTTAATACTCATTCATTCGAAATCTATATGCCAACAAAAAAGTATTTAAGATAATAAAATTATGTGAAAGAGGTCATATTGTGATCGAAAGTTACAGTTTTCTGAAATATTGACAGAACCGTTAAATCTACGTGTACATTTTATTGTACTTTCAAGGGATTTGCTCCATCTGAAGAGCCCGATTCACACAAGTACCATTTAATTCTTTCTCTTAGCAATATTGGAGAATATATCGTTGTGTTTTATCTTTACAAGTTTTGAATTGTGTAAATTACGCTACTCTTCTATGTGCCACGTGGATTTAACGGTTCTGTCAATATTCCAGAAAACTGTGACTTTCGATCAAAATTTGTCCTAATAATCATAATTTTTTAGCCTTTTTTCTTAAGTACTTTTTTGTCGGCATATACTTTTTGAATAAAAAGTATAACACAAACAAATCCGTAAGTTTAAAGATTGTTTAATTATAAACCAAAACGCGTATGATTTCAAATAGAAGAAACCGAATGCCTCTAACTCTGGTTAGTCCGTTGTGGTGCAGAAAGTAACCTTCATAAAGAATTCAAAATTAGAAAATATCAATACTGAATTCCATAATTTTTGCTGAGACAAAGGTCTACAGGGTACCGTTGTAAATTGGGTTTGCCCCTATTTTTTTAATGGAATAACACGCGAAATAATCGTCTACACTCCCTTAAAATATATTTTGGTCGGAACTTTGTGACAAGTATCTTGAACGCTCAATCTTGATATCCTATGCGGCCATTTTAAATTTGAGAATTAATGCTTTATCCCATGATAAAAGTTATCCATTAAGGGTATGACCACCACGGGATATAGAAAAGGAATTTTAAAAAATCCGATGAACTGCAATAGAGGACAAAGTTGACCNTCTATCTATCTATCTATCTATCTATCTATCTATCTATCTATCTATCTATCTATCTATCTATCTATCTATCTATCTATCTATCTTACTTTTTTTCTTTCTTTCCTTTTATCTATCTATCTATCTACATATATCTATTTATCTATTTTCAACCTCATAAACATATTTCTGGTCCCACGTGTCTTTTCTTTATTTTCATAATATATCATTTTCATACACACTGCTCAGTACACTGTACACTGTACACTACACTATACAGTGTACACTACAGTACAATATACAGCGTACACTGTACATTACACTATACACTACACTGTAAGTACATTGTACACTATAATACTCAACACTCTACAAATGTACAGTTTACACTGCAGTACACACTACACGCTACATACAGTGTAATAGTACTACACTACAGTTTAAAGTATACAGTTAAACCCCTCACTTCACTCTACAGTGCACTATATTACAGTGTACAGAGAACTCCACTGTTGTACAATTCAATTTGAAAGTATGCACGTTCTTCAAAACTAAAAAAACGGTCAAAATTATTATTTTAGAATTGCTGCTTTTTTCTTAAGTACTTAAGTTTAATCACTATTAAAATTTACACCTCGCTATTATCTGAAATGCCTGGACAATCCCTTTAAGGATTCTCGATTAGGACCAATAAGAAATCTCTATTTTCAGGCCCCAACCCCACATTGCCCAGCCTGGCCCCAACCCCCTTCCAATGATCAAGGCGGGTCGGGCCCAAGAGAGACATAAACGGGCCCAGAGACTCCAACGCACGGAATTACATCTGTTGCGCTTGAAACAGGAGCCAACAGTAGTGCACACTGCACAGGACCTTACATCTTCAGTCGGATCAAGACTGCCCTTAGAAAAAGAGCTACAAATTCAGCGCACGCGAGTTGTTTTTCTCCAACGTGCACTGTGCACACTTTTATAATTTTAAGGACATTAGTCAAAGAATAGGTAAAGATATTTTTACTGTTTTTGTATTTTGAACTCCGTTTCAGAAATAATTTATTTGTCATTCTCAGAAGTTTTTATTAAAAGAAACATCGCCTGTCGTCTGAATTTAAGATTGTTAAAAAAATGAAAAAATAAAATTATAAAAGAGAGAGAGAGAGAGAGGGGGGGGGGGGGGGCGTTCAATTATAAATTTTATAATGCGCACTGAAGGGAAAATTTTGTAAAATAATGCAATTTCAATATTTAACTTTTAGAGAAAAATCATTTAATTTTTACAATAAAAGGAATTAGACACTTAAATTTTTCCATTCTTGAATTTTTGCGGTCTTTTTAAGTCAGTCATTTTATAGACAAGTTGAATTGTGTTCTGGGTTCTGCTGATTGTAAGTCGGGCGTGCTCTCTTTTTTTTAAATGAAGGGTTAAATAGTTAAAGTGTAAAAAATCAAAGGATACAATAAAAAGTCATAATACAAGGAGAAGATAAGAGTTTGTGCCAAGTACTTAGTTTATTTTCGTTTTCACGGTCTCTGTTTTGACCATACATACATTTGTTTCTTTCTCACGATGTGTAAGATTTTGAAACTTTGGTTTACGAGAGTGTCGTATCGGTAACCTTGCAAAAAGTATCTTGTACATTTTGTATTGAACGCAGCTAGTAGTTTTAATAAGACAAAAAATTATTTATCAATATTATCATTGTTATTTATATTGTTATAATTATTATTATTAAGCGTTTTTTCTCTCTATTTTGAATGTTATTATTATTATTATTATAAAAACTTGTATACATTAATTGCTATAAATATCCTTATGATTGGTAATATTATTGTTTTTATCGTTATTTTTTCTTGCAAACGTTATTTGCTTTTCAAGCTTTTGAATCAATTTAAATTTGTATTTTTAATGTATTTTATTATTTTAAATCTTTTTGTTCCAGGAGTGATGTTTTACCCCCTGGTGGATTCCAGCGCAACTGCCAACATTTTCCCAGCTGATCTCATTAAACCGGTTCAACCCTTTCCAATCCAAACCAAGGAAAAACAAAACTATTTAAAATCATTTAATAATGAATCCATCCAGATAATGAAAAGAAAAATGAAGCTGCAGTGCCCGACAATCACCTCAAATAACGTCGACGATGGCCGAAAAAGATGCCACCTCACGGACCTTACAAACATTGATCCCAAACTAGAATCTGGTTTCCAGGTTAAAAGTGAAAACCAAGATGTCTGCCCCCGTCAGAAAAATGGTAAAGTGATCCCGCGAACCATTGATCCTTCAGAAAATGTTCTTAAAAAACGGAGATTGGCAGCAAATGCGCGAGAGCGGCGGCGAATGGATTTATTAAACCGCGGATTTGACCGATTACGCGGCGTTCTGCCCGGCCTGGGCTCACAGCACCAGCTCTCTAAATATGAAACTTTACAAATGGCGCAGTCTTACATAAGTGAACTTAAGAATCTTCTTCAAGATTAATCTAAACTAAAGTTTGTTTTTATTTATCTCATTGAACTTTCCATATTCAGAAAAGAAATCCAAAAATTCCTTCAGAGTTGTAAACATACGGTTTTTACGTGATAATAAAGAATTTATATGTAAATTTAAAGATTTAAGTAGACTAGTCATGTTTCAAATTTATTATTCATTATTTTTTATTATTTGATCAGACATAGATCTAAACCTTTTTACTTTAAGAAGCCCTTAAAAAATTGACGTTAAAATATATACATATTTGTTAGAATAAAAAAAGATTTAAATAGCTAGAATCTAACGATCATTGAGTCAGAATATGTGAAAAAAGATTTTATTGGTTTATAACTTCAGTTTTATTATTAGGAAAGCATTTAGTTAACTTTATAATGTAAAGCAGTATCAAACATAACATCCATTGTACATCATAAAAATGTATGACAAGTCCTTTAACCTAGAAAGTAGAGAAATAAATTTAATACTTCTAAAGTTTGAAAACTTAACAGCTTACAATGTGCAAACTTTTATATTTATTTATATATTCATTTTTTCATAAATGCAACAAAAAATATCCAATAAAAATATGAGATTTTTTTCAGATAAGGGAAAACATTTAGTAGGAAAATATACACCCCTGGTGAGCGGTAAGAAAAGTTAGATTGTTTTGTAAAACACTTCTTTCAAAGTAAACTCAGTTTAAAGTTGAAATTTTTTCGAAATGATTTTCTTGAAACTTTAAATTATTTCTTTGACATTTTCATTGTGTTTTTTTTTAAAACTAAAATGTTATATTTTTTGTTATTTGTTGGAGCAAATGTTAATCTTTTTATAATGATATTTCTTTTTTATATCATTTCACATGTTTCTTTTATTACATTTTTGAATCTACGAAAAAGTTTTTCTGAATAACAATGAGGACGATATCGTTGTTTTTTTATCTTGAAAAAGTATTATGTTTTTACATTCTCTTCAATAAAGTTACATTTACAGATGAAAGTATTTAGATATTTTTGCATTCATCCTTGATCAGACAAAGGTTAGAAGGGTACCGTTGTGAATTGAATATTCCACTCTATAAATGTATTAATGGAAAAGAGAAGTTTGGAGGTCACAAAGTTGAAGAGGAATAATTTCGTAAAGAATGAAATTGTTCCTTACGGTGAGATTCGAGGGATTGAAAGTGAAGTGAAAACTGAAAAAAATCAAATTCGAAAATTCGAAAAGTATCACCTTCCAAAATTCTACGGAGTCGCCCTTTAACCGTCATTTTGAAAAATCTTGATTTTTACCTTTACCTTTACCTTTAAATAAAATGATTCCCTGGTAAATGTTCTAGTATTCCCCAGTCATGTTCTAGTATTCCCTAGTACATGTTCTAGTACTCCCTAGTACATGTTCTAGTATTCCCCAGTACATGTTCTAGTATTCCTTAGTACATGTTCTAGTATTCCCCAGTACATGTT